CTGCTCAACTGAGCTATTGATGAAGGAATGGACCTCAGCCAATTGTTCCTTAGGGCAAGGACTGTTAATGAGGAGCAACCACCTATCTGTAATAATAATAATAATAATAATAATAATAATAATAATAATAATAATAATAATAATAATAAATTAATAAATAAATAAATAAATAAATAATGTCAGTACTTCTTTTGGCAAGTGTTCTAGTCTGTTCTCATCAAAGTTCAATAAACTGAGACACTTCATACCACCAACACTGGACAGGATATACTGGAATGATAATACAGTTACACTATTAGTTATCTTACATTGATGTGGTTTTGCGATAAGTTGAATTCAGTCAAACTCTGCAACCTATTAATGATAACCAAACCTACTAATTAACAATGACTCCACCCATCAATTAATAAACTAACTATTGCCCACAGTACATATAATACCACTGAGATTCACAGGCACACACACACACATTACAAGTGATAATCAGTACAGTACCATATTAGTACAGTACACTAGTGGTACAACATACCCTCCTATTGACTCAGGGAGGAACATTAACCTGTTACTGGAGACATTACACACCTTTAAACTCTTTAAATAACCTAACAACAAACAAATAAACAAATAAATAAACAATAATAGCAACAACGACTAACTAAAGGACACAGGTAGTTAGGTGAGAAGGTTATTCTGGAGGTAGAGGTCGGTCAGTGATGATAGGAGACCAATGGAGTGTGGTAGGTCCATTAGTCTATTGTCTGATGCTTCAATGAAGGAACACTTCTTCAACCCACTCACCTGATTTAAGCAAATTTTTAAAATCATAGAAAATCCAAACTTGATTGGAATCTGCTCAATCTTTCTACACACCATAAGTACATGTATATGCATCAGGTAATGTAATAAAATTGAGGAATTTTCTACTTGTCAATTTTTGTGAAATTTTTGAAAAATCCCTGTACTATAGTACAGGGACTTTTGTCTGATTTTTGAGCAAATTTTAAAAAATCATAAAAAATCTAAACTTAATTGGAATCTGCTCAATCTCTCTACACAGCATAAGTACATGTATATGCATCAGGAAATGTAATAAAATTGAGGAATTTTCTACTTGTCAATTTTTGTGAAATTTTACAAAAATCCGTGTACTATAGTACAGGGACTTTTGTCCGATTTTGAAGCAACTTAAAAAATCATAGAAAATCCAAACTTGATCGGAATCAGCTCAATCTCTCAACACTGCATAAGTACATGAGTATGCATCAGGAAATGTAACAAAATTGAGGAATTTTTTACTTGCCAATTTTTGTGAAATTTTTGAAAAATCCCTGTACTATAGTGCAGTGACTTTTGTCTGATTTTTGAGCAACTTAAAAAAATCATAGAAAATCCAAACTTGATCGGAATCAGCCCAATCTCTCTACACTGCATAAGTACATGTATATGCATCAGGAAATGTAACAAAATTGAGGAATTTTTTACTTGCCAATTTTTGTGAAATTTTTGAAAAATCCCTATACTATAGTACAGGGACTTTTGTCTGATTTTTGAGCAACTTAAAAAAATCATAGAAAATCCAAACTTGATCGGAATCAGCCCAATCTCTCTACACTGCATAAGTACATGTATATGCATCAGGAAATGTAACAAAATTGAGGAATTTTCTACTTGTCACTTTTTGTGAAATTTTACAACAATCCCTGTACTATAGTACAGAGACTTTTGTCCGATTTTTGAACAACTTTAAAAAATCATAAAAATTCTAAACCTGATCGGAAACAGCTCAATCTCTCTACACTGCATAAGTACATGTATATGCATCAGGAAATGTAATAAAATTGAGGAATTTTCTACTTGTGAATTTTTATGAAATTTTTGAAAAATCCCTGTACTATAGTACAGGGACTTTTAACCAATTTTAGAGCAACTTTTAAGAAATCATAAAAAATTCAAACTTAATCGGAAACAGCTCAATCTCTCTACACTGCATAAGTACATGTATATGCATCAGGAAATGTAATAAAATTTAGGAATTTTCTACTTGCCAATTTTTGTGAAATTTTTGAAAAATCCCTGTACTATAGTGCAGTGACTTTTGTCCAATTTTTGAGCAACTTTAAAAAATCATAGAAAATCCAAACTTGATCGGAATCTGCTCAATCTCTCTACACTGCATAAGTACATGTATAAGCATCTGGAAATGTAACAAAATTGAGGAATTTTCTACTTGCCAATTTTTGTGAAATTTTTGAAAAATCCCTGTACTATAGTGCAGTGACTTTTGTCCAATTTTTGAGCAACTTTAAAAAATCATAGAAAATCCAAACTTGATCGGAATCTGCTCAATTTATCTATACTGCATAAGTGCATGTATATGCATCAGGAAATGTAACAAAATTGAGGAATTTTCTACTTGTCACTTTTTGTGAAATTTTACAAAAATCCCTGTACTATAGTGCAGGGACTTTTGTCCGATTTTTGAACAACTTTAAAAAATCTAAACTTGATCGGAAACAGCTCAATCTCTCTAAACTGCATAAGTACATGTATATGCATCAGGAAATGTAACAAAATTGAGGAATTTTCTACTTGACAATTTTTGTGAAATTGTACAAAAATCCCTGTACTATAGTACAGGGACTTTTAACCATTTTTTTAGCAACTTTAAAAAAATCATAGAAAATCCAAACTTGATTGGAATCTGCTCAATCTCTCTACACTGCATAAGTACATGTATATGCATCAGGAAATGTAATAAAATTGAGGAATTTTCTACTTGTCACTTTTTGTAAAATTTTTGAAAAATCCCTGTACTATAGTACAGGGACTTTTGTCCAGTTTTGGAGCAACTTTAAAAAATCATAGAAAATCCAAACTGGATCGGAAGCAAATGTAGGCATATTTACATTGTAAAGGTCAGAGGTTATAAGGTATTATAGGTAATGCTATGAATGTACTTGTATAGCAAGGTTAATATGGTATAGGTACACCTATTGAGGATCATTGAATGGGTTGCAAGCACTTGCAACCTCAACCTACAATGATGCTACTTGTAATTAGCAAAGTGTTCATTTTTCAACTAAGTCCTAGCTCCTAAGTAGGTAGTAATGTACAGCCTGGACAGAGCCTTTGTGTGATGGGATTGACATTACGGCTGCAGGTTGTCAAAATAGTTCTGGCTCTTTTGTAGTCTGCTCATTGGGCCTGAGTTAGATTCTAATTGGTAGGTGTGGTTATTACATATCAGAACATTGCTGAATTCGATTGCTGATAATGGCTGGTGTCCAGGCTACTCACAGTCCTTCCTTACGTAAGTTCAGTATAGTTATTGATGAAGAAGAAGCTGTTCTGCTTTACAGAGATGAAGGAGGTAATACATGGGATGCCTATCACACCGAAGTGCCTCCTAGTCAGCGTGGGAAAGGTCTAGGGGCAGTACTAGCTCAAGTAAGTGATCTTTGTATCATTGTGATGAAGTATTGTATTCATTATTATTACAGGCATTGTTTGCTCATGTTAGCAATAACAACCTAAGGATACGTGTGTCTTGTACTTATTTACAGCATTATGTAACCAAACATCCTGAATTGAACAAGTATTGTGTTTCTTAACTTTTTTTATTATTATTATTTTTTTTTATTGTTAAGTTAAATAGTTTCAACCTGTGGTTTGTTTGGATTGTTCTTTAATATCCATTGAGCCAACCACTCCTGTTAATAATATGATAATACTGTTATTATTTTGGTATAATGATGTTCTCTTACTAATGGATCATCAGGTTTTTCATGACAAAGTTCCGTCAGTCCTTTTACTAAAGTTGGATTGACTTGAGATCTAAGATAGTCTTTCATTGCAGTTCCTCTTTCAACTGGTTCCATGATACTGTATGCTAATTCAGTTCAGTATGCAATAAAGTCCCACCAATAGTCCTTACCATCTGGAAACATAAACTTTATTTCTTTGTCAGCAGCATATTCACTGTCACTGCCATGGAGGGCATTCTTTGTATTGTCATGACCATAACAAGCTCTCAGTGACCTTGGCTCCTCTTCCTATAATAATAATAATAATAATAATAATTAATATTAATTTATTGTGTTTAGTATTGTCTACTTTAGCTCTCCTTGAGTCAGTTGGTCCCAGTAATTCCTTCCATTCTTTTATTGCATTTTGTTTTGCCAGTACCATAACTATAATGTCACTTGAACTCATGAATGCTACAAGACTAGGAAAGAACATTTTCCCGTAGTGTTCAGCATAAAAGTTGGCTGCTTCTTCGGGGCTGAGTTGAATCCTTCTCTTCTGTCCAATAATCTTACATGATATATTTTCTATTAACCACAAGATTTACTTGCAAGATTTTGAATCCATTCCTTTTAATCTCTTCGATGATTTCATCAGCCCAGTTCATGGCATCAGGCTTTATGAGAGCAAGAGTTTTCTCAACTGTGATGTCTGCCATCTTGTTTACCACTGAGAGTTGCTATGACAACCCATAACATTCCAGTATACTAAATGTGGTTCAGGATACTTCCGTAAACTCAATCTTCTCATAGGCCATTGAATCATCTCTTTTTCTCCCTCTTCCTCCCTCTCTCTCTCTCCCCCTCTTTGTTTGTTTCTACTTTATTTTCATCATGTAAGTCTCTCTATCTTGTCATTGTTTTACCTTTTCTTATGCTTTAGGTTTTGAACCTTTCCCTTCTACCAGTTTTTAACACTTTCAACTCAACTCAACTTCATTTTATAATAATAGTATTTGTGTTGCTGCCCTTTTTCCTAATCATTTTCTTTTTCATCATTTTTGATATTTATCATGACGCTACTCCAACAAAGGGTATGTATATTAACTATTATCACTAGTCTTCATCACTGGCAGGGTAATAATGGCCTTCAAGGTTTCTCTTCTTTTACATCGTCAATGCCAAAGTCTCACAGGTAATGTCTATTTTATATGGGAAGTTGTTCATTTATTACATGTATAGAGAGACTGGTATAGTCACAAAGACAATGGTATGTGTACGTTATGACTGGATTATTTATATCAATATTATCAATATTATTAATAGGGGTCTTATGGGTTTATCTCTTGTTGTGAAAGAAATGAATCTATATTCTTCCATTTTTCACAATACAATGGAGATCCTAATGAGATACAGCCTGGAGGTTGTAGTTTTTGTCAAGTTTTTGTTTTTATTGTTGTTTTCAGATGAGGTGGAGTTTGAGGTAACTACAGATGCCAGTAAAGGCAAGCTAATTGCTCGGCGTGTTGTATGCCTGCCACCTGGGACTGTGTCATTTGAATCTCTCAGTGAAGAAAGACTACTGGGTAAAGTGGAGCAGGAGCCATTGCTGGTGAGGAATTACTCTGCTTTTGGTGGACGTAGAGCTAGTACCAGTCAAGATGAACCTGATCTGGGGATAGGACGGATTGTTTATGAAGCAAAAGGGGTAGGAGAATGGCTGTGTGTCTTATGAGTGACTGTGTCCATTAGGAGTGTTTCTTTGTGTCTTACGGATTCACTGATATTAATGATGACAGGGAGATACATACTGGAGATGAAGTATCGTTTTATATGGCACAGAATAAGAGGTTTACTATCAGTAATTGTTATTCATTGTTTTTGTTATTGATTAGAACTGGTGCCCTTAGTGCTAGATTAGTTCGATTGGTACAGGAAGCTAAAGTTAATAAAACTCGGGGAATTATTAAAAGTTTAAAAGATTCATTTGGATTTATTGAAAGAGCTGACATTGTCCAAGATGTGAGTTATTTTATCAAGTACTGCAATAACTGAATTTATTTCTTTAGATATTTTTTCACTACAGTGAAGTTGATCATGGCGAAGATACTAAACTCATTTTGGGTGCATCAGTTGAGTTTGTCATTCAAAACAGGCAAGGAAAGCACGTAGCCTGCCAGATCAAAGTCCTCCCTCATGGTTCGGTCTCCTTTGATATTATCGGAGAGGATCAGTTTGAAGGGGTCATCAAGGCACCAGTCATCAGGTCTTTCACTCACGGAAGAGGGAAAGTGGTAGGTGTGGTTTTATGTTGTCATGGTTATCGTTACTGTGGTTACTGTTAGTGTGAAGCAAGTGAAGGGAAGATCATATATGATCCAGTGATTGGAAGGTAAGGGAACGTCATGAGGTCTTTCACTCCCTCCCTCCAGTTCAGTGCTGTCCTACACAGAGAGGGACCAATTGGGCAGTTACACGATGTGTGTTGGGGACCTGGTCAGTTTTAGAATAGCTACGGACAGAAGAGATGGATCCACTCGTGCTACTAAAGTGTCCTTGATTAAACTAGTTGAGGAACAGAATAAAACCAGAGAAAGAGTTAGTATCATGTATCATACTGTTGTTGTTATTATTGTTGTTGTTGTTATTGTTGTTGTTTGTTGTTTAGGGTATAATAGCTGCCCTAAGAGATGGATTTGGATTCATTAGATGTGCTAAGAGAGACTGCAGAATGTTCTTTCATGTCAATGAAGTGATTGATTCAGTAAGACAGACACTCTCTAGTATATGTGCATGATTCATGTATTGACACATTAAAGGAAGCACAGCTAAGCACTAGTACAGAGGTTGAGTTCACAGTCCAGTCAGACTACACCAATGAGAGGGAACACGCAGTTAGGATCGCCCTACTACCTGCACTCACTGTCCAGTTTGAAATACTTCACAAAGAATTGCTGACTGGGACAGTGAAGGAGGAGCTACCTACTGACATTAGCAGGAGCAGACCAAACGTACTGAGGATACAAAAGTGCATCGTCATCACTTCTTTATTTTATTTGTTTGTTTGTTTGTTAGTGAAAGTCCATGTGGTTTGCTGGAATACGTGTATAGTGACAAGGAAGAATTTATTCCATTTTACTGGTCGACTGAATCTGTGCAGTTTGGGGATAAAGTAAGCCACACTCACTTTATAACGACTCCCTGGCCACACCACTAGGTTCAGTTCCAGATAGCCAACAGGTCTTACGATGGTTTGGTCTATGCTGTCAATATAAAGATACTTCATAAAGGACACTCACTGAGATTCAAAGTATAATGTACATATAGATAGATCTGTATACTGATTGTCACTCCAGGGAGTTGTCTCCGTATTGAAAGAAGGTTTTGGATTCATAGAAACTGAAGAACACGACTGTGAAATATTCTTTCCATTCAGGTACAGTACATCTAGTTATTGATTAATTAATAATTTTAATTGTATTTAATAGTTCATGCAATAAATATTGTGACCCAAAAGATTTAAAGTTATTAGACGAAGTTGAATTTGGTTTGGTAAAAAAGAACGGGCGACTGTCAGCAGATGAAATAAGAAAACTGGAGCCAGGATCTGTTAGGAGAGAAGTACCTAATGACATCACATGACACAATATGACATCATCACTTTAGACTGTACAACCTGAAGCTTATGAAGGAGTCATAGTGAGACCAATGAAGAGTTCTGACAGCTCAGTGAGTTATTTATTTATTTATTTATTATTATTATTATTATTATTATTATTATTATTATTGGGGCGAGCAAAAGTGAGCCCCACATAGTCGAGTCGAGTATGTCTGTTTGTTTGTTTGTTTGTTTGTACACGTAGGTCACCTCTATTTATGCGTCTATAAAAAATAATAATCACACATTTTAAAATGATAACTTTGATAATTACGGTACCACGTGCAAAAACCAAGAGCAACTTCAGTAATCACTGGACGAGAGGAGTTCAAGAGACAAGAGTATTCAAAAAACAAGAGAAGCTGAAGCTTAAAGCATGAGTTATTCACAAGAAGATGCTCTTGAAGCTCGTCGACTTCTTCGTAATGAGCATGAGGAGGAGAAAAGAGCGAGGAGGTCCAATGCGTAGAAATGCTAGAGATGGTCTTGTCACACCCAAAGACAACAAATGGAGTCTCCTGGCTTCTGAGACCAACCATCTTCCATCCTAGATCTATATAACTGCAGAGATTTTTCACTCAAAGCTAGAAACTATGAAATTCCTTCCATGCTTGCAAATTCTGCATTAGTGTATTGACATCGACATTCAACATTTAATAGCCACTACATCATTGTCGATCATTGTCTATATAAACATTGTATATTGCTAATCGAAATGTTAATCGTTTTGCTCGCCCCTCAATGTTTTACATTCGCCTAGTTATTATTATTATTATTAATTATTAATGCATGTAGGATGAATATGAAGGTCTAATAAAGCCAGTGTTAGATATTCCATTGGTTGGTGGTGAGTGCATCCCTTACAGTTTCACTAGCATCAGTGACCATAAGATATTACTACAAACTGGAGAAACAGTACGACTGTTATTAATAGCTGATTATAACATTAATATTAATTAACAGGTTAATTTTCAGTTGGGATACAATGAGCTGAGTGGGACTTACAGAGCAGTTAATATAACAAACAAGAAAGAGCTAATGAGAGGAACGGTTGAACGTATCAAAGACCAAGTGAGACCTAGTGTAGTGTAGTACAGTAGCATAAGTCAAAGGGTCAACTGTATATTGACCCCACCCATAGCCTAACCACCTAATGGTAACTGTGCATGTACCTGTGTTGACCCAATTTTCTCACTTGACGTGAATTACTAGTATGGTAAAAGTCACATGATCCAATTTTCTCACTTGACATGAATTACTAGTATGGTAAAAGTCACATGATTAATGAGTGTGTATTAACTGTAATGACTGGACCTGGACTGGTTCTTATTGTCATCCATTTATTAGTTTGGTTTCATTAATTATAAAGATGATAATGGAGAAACTATTTCTGTTTTCTTTCACAAAAACTCAATGTCAGGTAATGTGTGTGTGTGGTCTGGGTGTGGCTTCATTTCCTTGCAGATGGCTGTGAATTTAGTGAATTAAGTTCAGGAGATGAAGTCCAATTTAAGACAATGTTCAGTCAGAGGAGTCAGAAAGACAGTGCCATTTATGTTAAGAAAACAACAACTCCTCAAGGCAGACCAGAGAGACTACGCCATGGCTCAACTAAAGGATCTTCTGCTTTAGTGTATGTTTCTATTGTTAGTAACATTACATCATAGTGTGTCTATATTTAGAACTGTTGTTCGGCAACCCAAAGGTCCTGATGGTAGTATAGGATTCATGTAGACCTCCTCCTCTCCATTGCTGACCTGACACACACATTAAGTTAAAGAAACAAGCTCTAGAGACTACACAAAATGCTTTTACAAAAAAATAACAATTCAATTATTATTTTTTATAATTGATTAATTAATTCTAGTCCCCTGCCACTCTTTCCTGTATTGTTGATAATTTATTGTTACTAATAATAACACCAAACTGTTGTTACTAATAATAACACTGAACTGTTGTTACTAATAATAACACTGAACTGTTGTTACTAATAATAACACTGAACTGTTGTTATTTCATTGGTCTTTGATTGTACAATGAGAAGTTAGGTGTGGTCAAATGAACTGACACAGGACTACTATCATCATCTTGTTCTTGTTCTTTATTATTGATCAAAAATCTTTTAGGAATAAATATTTCAAACCAAGCCTGAAATAATATTAATACAATACAATAATGATTAATTCCTACTTTATAATGATTGCTGACATCAAGTCCAACTAGAGAATATGGCCATTGGATTAATCCTAAATGCACTTGGCACAACCTCAGGTAATCAGAAAATGTGTCACACATTAAGTGACAATTAAGAGCTAAATCAATCAACCAAATTCCTCTAAATAATGAATCTATTCAAGTAATAAATAATGGCCATAATTTGTAAATAATTAAAGTCAGAATTGACTTAAAACATTCTACATAGCATAAGGACATCAATATGTATCAGAAAATGTAATAAAAATTTGGGGTGGTTTTGGAGCCATTTTTTGAAAAAAACCATGGACTATAGCCTTGGGTATTTTTCAGGATTTTGGCATTTTCTTAAAATGGCACAAACTTGAAAAATTGAAGTCGGAATCAGCTCAAACTTTCTACACAGCATAAGGACATCAATATGTATCAGAAAATGTAATAAAAATTTGGGGTGATTTCGGGGCAATTTTTTGAAAAAAACCATGGGCTATAGCCTTGGGTATTTTTCAAAATTTTGGCAGTTGCTATATGTTGACTTCATGTTATAAACTTTTCTATTCATAGTAATCAATTTAAGTATTAGCATTGTCTTACCATAATATCTATGGTCTTACTTTCATCAAACACAAGGCATGTATGTCCAGTGTCAGGACAACTGCTAATAATGATAATTTTATTATTTATACAGTAAAATGGATCCCAATCATCATTCTTGTCTTGTAAGTCGTACAGAGATGGCGTACATGTATTGGCACATGTGTTAAAAGGGTTAAAAACAGATAGATCGTCCAATGAATTAATAGTAATGTTACCCAAAACAATACTGTTTCCTATAGCAACAAGAATTAGTTTATAGCTCACAAAAATAATGGCATTTAACTGTTGTGATTGTATTTCCATATAAGGTATGCTCCATCATGGCTCATGTAAAAGTCTCTGATGTCGTCAGTTAAAGTGAGGCCCTTCAATCTCTCCCAGGACTGGAGCACCGACTGATTTAAAGGAGCACCATAACCAGCAGATACATCAACTACTCCTGGCTGCTCTACTAAACATATATTATTATTGCTTTGGGAATAACTATGACCTGGCTTACAAATGTACTTCTCTAGACTGGATAAAAACATTGGGTGGCAGATAGTCTACCAGTTCCCGGCAATTCAATCTGAGCATGCTCAGTAAGACAGTGACCACTCCCCTCAATAATTCAAAATGGAGTCTGACAGTAGTACAAACAACAGTGACGGAGCCTCTTCTCCAGAGGAATCCAGAGGCAGTAAAGGTAGTTCAGTCTCCACTGGACTCAGAGAGGAATATGAGGACCTTCTCCGTTATGCTGTGGTCACTCCAAACTTTGATGGAAAGATTAAAGGAGTTCTGAAACAGCAGAGTCATAATGAAGAGACTACACCAGCAGCTAGTGGACCTGGAGTGCATTCTGTACAAGGTTAGACTGGTATACTTTTATTTACTTGTTTGTTTGCTTGTTTAGTGAGTCATTTGGATATACCTGATTATCAAGAAGAGGGAGACAATGAATCAATTGACAATAATGAATGTCATTACTTTCCTGCAGTTTCACCACCACACCCTCAACCTTCCGCTAATAATGAGCCAAAGTATTTCATTATGTTGTAGTAATGGTTTTATTTAATTAACTGATAGAGTTTCATTTAAAATGGACACTAACAAGCCAAAGTCCAATGATCATGAGCTGATGAGATTAGGTGAGCAAATGGACAGATGGTGTTCTGATTTGAAAAGGAACGTATTAGTACGTGAGCTTCAGGTAGTTATATTCTTATTATCAAGTACCTTTCTGTAGGCTGAATTTGAACAGGCTCAGATCAGATCAAGAGAACAACAAAAAGCAGCTACTCTTCAAGAAATTAATGAGTAGATAGCAATATTAATTTATAGTTAATTAGCTGTTGTTTTTTTCCCTAGTTTAGTGTCTCAGAATCGGCTGCTTCAGTCACAAATCAATAGAATTAATGGACTTTTGACAACTTTCCAATTATCAATTGACAAAAAAGATGAAATCATCCAACGGTTAACTAAATCTCTGCAGAAACAAGTAACATTGATACATTTACTGATTAATTAATAAGTTAGCTGTTGTCTTATTGTAGAAAGACCGAATTGGTTTAGCTAGATCATTTTCAATGTGGAGGGGGCAGCACAATGATGAAAAAAGAGAAGTTTGCTATCACTTAATTTCATCATCATCATCATTTGTACTATAGATATTTACTAGTACTTTGGCTGTAAAGCATTATAATTATAAACTAAAGAGAAAAGCATTGCAGACATGGTTTGGAATTATACAAAATAAATGGAGAGAGAGAGTACAGAAAGCTTGTCAAGTAAGAGCAGAGGAAGTATGCCAGAAACTTAAAGCAAGTCACAACAAAGAAATAAAGACAGTAACTGAAGGAAAGGGAAGACACAAGAATGACTTACTCCATTTTGTTTTTAGTTTGAGAAGTTGTTGGAGGAGAGAGAGGAGGAACTGAGCAGACTTTATAAAGAAAGAGATTCATTCGAAGAAAATTTGAAGAAAGCTTTCATGAGAGGAGTGTGTGCCTTGAACAAGGAGGCAATGACAATGTTTAATAAAGAACAACTGGGAGATTGTGGTTACCACGGCAACCAGACAGTTTTTCCTCCTCCTGTTAAAGAAGGAGGAAAGTCAAGAGAACCAAAAGTTATGATTGAGAAGCACTTGCACTAAAATATCACTTACTAGTAAAAACTACTATTACCATTATAATTATTAAAATTAATTAATCTACGAGGTGTGGTTTTTAATAATCAATATAGCTCCTCCTAGCAGGGGCAGGTGCCCAGTTTTAAGTGTACTTAGTGTAGGGAGGGTAGATTCTAGAAATGAAGATATTCAAACCTAATTGGGTTAAACATGATAAAGGACAGCCGATATTCTCCATTGATATACATCCTGATGGCACGAGGTGATACAATCAATAATGATTTCATCTTACTTAAAATTAACAGGTTTGCTACTGGAGGCCAGGCTGATGACGGCAGTGGTAAGATCATTATTTGGAACATGGCCCCAGTGAGGGAAGAGCCCATCAGTGATGTACCTAAACTGTTGGTGGAACTAACGAATCACTCCGGTTGTGTTAACGTCACACGATGGTCACGTGATGGACACTACCTCGCCAGTGGTAGTGATGATAGTATTATTATAATATGGAGCCTTCGCTATAAAACTGATGGGAAACTGGGATTAGAAAACCCTGTGTACGAGCAGTGGGGGTGTGGCCACGTACTGAGAGGTCATAATGGTGACGTGCTGGATCTGTCCTGGTCACATGACAGGAAGTACCTGGCGTCAGCTAGTATCGACAACACTATTATCATATGGAACACACTAAAGTTTCCAGAGAAAGTAGCCATCATTGAATCGCACACTGGACTTGTTAAAGGTACTGTACAGTATATCATTATTATTATTATTGTTATTATTATTGTTATTATTATTATTGTTATTGTTATTATTATTATTGTTATTGTTATTGTTATTGTTAGGTGTTTCTTGGGATCCTGTTGGTAAATATCTTGCTTCACAATCTGATGACAAGTCCCTTCGCGTTTGGAGGACCTCTGACTGGAAAGAGGAAGTCAAAATATCAGAACCATTTCATAATTGTGGAGGAACAACCCACGTACTCCGATTGAGCTGGTCACCCGACGGTCGGTTCATAGTCTCTGCCCACTCTCTTAACAATGATGGACCGAGTTCTCGTATTATCGACCGAACCACTTGGAACACCGAAATGGACTTTGTAGGTCACCGGAAGGCAATAGAAGTGGTTCAGTTTAATCCTCACCTTTTCGAGAGAGAAAAGGGAGGGGATAGTCACGGCTGCCTGGCTATCGGGAGCAGGGATAGATCCTTATCAGTTTGGCTGACCAGTTATAAACGACCATTAGTTGTGTACACGATCTTTTTAATA